AGTCCTCCCCCCCAGCCCCCCGGGGGGGCGGGGGGGGAGTAAGCGAGCGGCTGTGTGGTGCTCAGTCGCCAACTGAGGTTAAACCACGACACGCACAGATAAAGCAAAGAGCGTTCCCCTTGATCCCAGGACCTCAGGGAGGAGTCTGAAATCACCTAACATTCACAAATCCATCTCGCGCTTCACCTTCTTCCCAAGACCGGGAGCCACTGATACTCTGCTGAGAGCAGTGCTGCGCCCCAGCCTCCTGGCTGCGCTGCGGGGTATTTCCTAGAGCACTGTGTGCCTGCCCGGGCAGCCACGTGTCAAAGTTAAGCTGCTCCTCCTGCTCCATCCTGGCAGCGTATTTCTAGGACAGATGTAGAAGTCTAACCTCGCCCCATCAAGCTACACTCTTTTTTTTACAGAAGGAGTTTACGGGCCCCGAAAGCTGGCTTATCTGTGGAAATCCAGCTAGAGCACTGTAATCCCTGGGCAGCAGCGTGTGACTGCCCAGTGCCACTCCAGAGCAGAAAAAACTCTTCAGTCCTACCCCAAACTTGCAGAAGGACCACCACGTAACGTAAAGGGTGACCCAGGCCCCGGGGGAAGAGCTGCTCACCAGTTGGGTAGAGATGCTGCAGGATCCCATCGTCCACAGTATGAAGATCCTTCACGTTAAAAGAAGGGAAGAAATACGAGCGAAAAAACTTCTTCGGGAAGAGTCCTTCCCAAGTGTCATCACCCATGAAGACCACTCTCCTTCCTGAGGCAGCAAGAAAGGAATTAATGAGAGCAGGGAGCCCACCCGAGTCGTGCTGTTACCCGCGCTAGCGCAAAGAGCCTGGGCAGATCCAGGTCAGGGTCTGGAGCACCGGCTCCTCTCCCACCCACACTCAAAAGCGACCTAAAATTAAAATGACCACCTGGCTGTAAATGAGTTTGAATACGGGGAGCGACCAGCCACGTTTCTAAGCCTACGGGTGCACCCCCCGGCCCCCAAATCCACCTGCACAACCTCACGACTTATCGTTGACCTCCGACACGTCACCCCAGCAGAAGGACCCGTGGGTTGAACAGGCCAGGAAGCAGGCAGGCACCCATCCGTACTACGGCAGCACTTAGGAAGGTGCGGCGCAAAGCTGACAAACCCTCGCCCAAGGCCCGCGACCCCACTGTAAAGCACAAGGCAGCAGACGGCTGCTGACAGGGCTTGAGTAGAAGCTGTGAGTCCTGGGCTCCGGCTTTAAACACGAGGGTGGTGGGTTTTCACACGCGGAAAAGAGGAGGCAAAAGCACCGACGCTTCCCTTCCCCCTGCCCTCAAGCTCTGCTTGCCCGGCCTGCCACCAGCCAGCCCTCCGTGTTTCCGCTGAGCCGCTCCAGCCGGGGAGCGGGAACCGTTTCCTCCGAGGCTCCTGCTCTGGCGCAGGGTCTACCAGCGTTTTTCGCCTCGGATGATTTACTGCATTTGCCCACCTTGCTCACATACAGGGGAGCGGACAACCCGGTCACGTTGCCTCATCCCAGGCACTCGTGTTTGTGCCACTCTGAGCCCTGGAAGGAAATCTGTCCGGCTAACACAAGACTGTGTTCTGTCCCCTTTTCCCTACTCCACCATCCCCCCCTAACAAGCCCTTTACAGCTGCATTAAGCACTCCCCAGCAGCACCAAACTACACAGAAAACGTGACGAGGTTGCTGCCTAACGGCCGCAGGCAGCTGGCCAGGCAGGCTCACTGCCTGAGTGGCACCCCCACAGCACGCCTGGCACCAGCTCCTCCCTCGTCGTGCGTCTCACCTGAACACAAACACGACACGACTGACTGCCTTTGGCTTCGTACGGCCATTCCTGGCGGGGAACTTGTGACCACTACCATCACT